CCCCCCCCCCCTCTCTCTCTCTCTAATACCAATCTTTAATTCCCCAATCTTCAATAATTATAATTTTAGTAAAAGAATCACATTATAAGCACAGACGATAATACATATACAAAACAGTGGTAGATAGCACAGATCACAGCACTAGCACAACAATAGCATTAGTAGGAACTAACAAATATTTATCGATCGGTACATGAATTTATAGCTAATATTACTTTGCATGATTAATGAAATAAAACTTAATAACAAATGCGCTTTATAGTTTTCGTATGTAATTTATATGCTCTTGTATAAGAACTACAGGAATCATATCATATATATTATATATTCATTTAATTTAAGACAATGTACTATTACGTATGTTATCATTTAATGCATTTAATCAATTATCATAAATCACTTCTTTATTTTAGCTATTTCGCTTATTTTATTATATTATATTACGCTGCACATTAATTTGCGATGGCTAATCATATATGTTAGTAATAAAAGTCTACATGTATACTTGTGAGGAAACGTGCAGAGAAAGGTATATTAGTTTATACTGTTAAAATATTTTCGAAATTTTCGAAAAATTTCGTGACTTAGATATTATTATATTTAATATATGCTTTTTTTCTCGAACATATATGATAACATCTTTTTTTCAATACAAATATATATACGCATTATATATGCTATAATTTATTTAAATTTATTGAATATATATGAATAAAAATGTAACTTTACTCAAGAAAATATATATAAGAAATAATGCAGATAATTGCGAAAAAGAATAAATTATATAATTAATTATATTTTCTATAAAATTAATATACATAAATGCATACATGTGCATGTATAATGAGGATTTATCTTGTCTGATTAAATCAACGCACAAATTTTTGTATTTGTACATAATTACTATGTAGTTAATAAGATGTAAGCGATAAATGCAAAAGACAATACGGTTTTTCAAGCTAAGATCTGCATGTACAAATATATACAAATATACAAGTAATTGATTGCAGAGATTATTAATTAAAAATTTTCTTATTATATAATTACAATTTATCTTTATTATATTTCTTCATTATATCGTACATAAAATTTTGTGTAAACAATATCAAATAATTATATTTTTGTAAAAAAAATTTCTTATACATAAATAAATAAAGTTTGTTCATGGATTTGATTATTGTGAATTGCATGATGTACTCTGTGTATGTCCTGCTTCTTTCTTGTAATGCTAATGATGAATAAGCAGCATTGTAAAATCAAGAAATTGCTTGTGTGAAAATTTTTCCTTTTTTTCATTATTTTGAATATTCTTTTAATATTATTTGAAATAATGTTTGAATTTATTTATAACAACAAAATACATATCAAGCATTTGTATATGTTAATAATATGCAGAGCTTAAGAAATACATCAATATTGAATTTATTTAAAGTTTCTTAAAAATTTTACATTTACTATTCCTGTAGAGCTTATACTTGCTATTGATTATGCGCTGAAGAATGTAGAAATATTTTCTAAAGCTCTGACTACGAAATTGCTTATCAAGATTTATTATCTCAAAAACAATTGGATTAATATTTAAAATTCACTAGGTGATCTGCCATCATATATAACTCGATTCCAGTGGGACATGGCTAAATACCCCATCAAACAATCTTTGAGGAATATTGCGGATATTATTAGTAAACAAGTGGGACAGATTGATGCTGATTTAAAAACTAAATCCACGATATACAACAATTTGAAAGGCAGTTTACAAAATTTAGAAAAGAAACAGACGTAAGTTTGATACATTATGATTTGAATGCAATCAACAATTATGTAAATGTCATTATGCAATTTTTTATCTGCACCAGGGGGAGTTTATTAACACGAAATTTAGCAGACTTAGTAAAAAAAGAACATTTTATTCTGGACAGCGAATATTTAACTACTTTGCTTGTCATTGTACCGAAGTGAGTAAATACATTTACAGCTTTCTTTTGACACATATGCTAAAGTTATTATAAAGTTGTCATATATTAGATCGTTGAAATAAACTGACATCTATGTGTATCTCATGTTTTTAGATCTAACTTTCAGGAATGGTACGGTTGTTATGAAAAACTGACAGATATGATTGTACCACGCAGTACACAACTCATTACTCAGGATTCTGAATACGGATTATTCACGGTCACTTTATTTAAAAAAGTAATGGATGAATTTAAATTGCACGCTCGTGAAAAGAAGTTTATTGTGCGAGATTTTATATATAATGAAGAGGAATTAGCAGCAGGTTTGTTATAATATTGAAATCTTTTATAATTTGCATGGGATTGCAGTAATACTTTAGAAATTAACACAAATTTGATATATTAAATCTTTAAAAGCTGAGCTGTGTAAAAAATAAAATTTATTATAATAATTACATTTTATTACAGGAAAAAATGAAATTACAAAGTTGGTAACCGATAAAAAGAAGCAATTTGGACCACTTGTCCGTTGGTTGAAAGTGAATTTTAGTGAATGTTTTTGTGCTTGGATTCATGTTAAAGCTTTACGTGTATTCGTTGAATCCGTTCTTAGGTACTGTACATATTAATATGTTTTATCGAAAAAAAAAAAAAAAAAATACGGTGTTATATTAATGTCATATATTGTAATATGATTTATAGATATGGCTTACCTGTCAATTTCCAAGCAATATTATTGCATCCGCATAAGAAATGCGCGAGGAGATTACGTGACGCTTTGAATCAGCTTTATGCTCATTTAGATTCATCTGCTACTGCTTCAACAGCGCACAATCAAGATGTAAGTAAAGATGTTGTAATTATTGTATTGTATTATTAAAAGTAGATTAATATTTAATTATAATTTTAAAACTCTATTCCTCATCATTTTTAATGTAAATAAATATTACTCTTTTGAATCAATTTTTTAAAATATCTATTATATACGAGAAATATATACAAGATCAAAGAATATTGTTTCTTCGTACAGAAAGTATTTATATTTATACAATATTTTAATTTGAATAGAATGTGGATATACCAGGATTAGGTTTTGGCCAAAGTGATTACTTCCCTTATGTCTATTATAAAATCAACGTGGATATGGTTGATAGTAAGGTCTAATTAAAGTCTGCGTTTTTCTCCTGAACATCATACTTCCTTTTATTTATCCAGATGATATAATTCTATTACATCAGGAATCTAGTGGCAGGTGCGTACAAGTTTCTCACTTGCATTAATATGTAAAAAGAATATTGCATTTCCAAAAAATTTCTTTCGATTTTTCCGTAGCTGTTACGTTTAATAATTACGAATCGCGTAATTTACTACAATTGGAGAAAATTGTCACATAGCCTTTTTCAGAAATAGTTATTTTTCTAAATCGATGAAATTAGAACGATGTATAAACTGTAATATTGCTCGGAACTGTGCATAAGAGTTGTGCATTCCTTTATACATATTGCTCCCAAGAGCCCCAAGTATTGGGGTATAAACATAAATCAATTGAAGTTATAGATGATAATAAAGATTCTCAGGCAAATACCATCAATTGTATGCTTTCGACTTGTATGTCTTCTTGATATACTTGGAAACAGCACATGTTTTACACGTTATCGCAACATAAAAATGTATAGCGTTTCTAAGTAGAATTGCTACAATGCAATCTTAATCCATTAATCTGTTATATAAAAGTAAAGAGCTGATCTTTTCATTGATGTGTAAGAGATCAAGATTCATGAAGAAAATATATAGACACACATCTTGTTACATTATGTAAAAAGCATTCACACCAAGTGTGTCATGTGAATATTTAACAAATTGTTAATCATAGTTTAGAAAAAAATGGATATCTTATTGTTGAATATTAAGAGAGGTTTCATGTCATGTATTCTTATAGTACATTTTATTGCTTCAAACAAATTTATGAACTACAAAAACACGTTTCATACGCGCGCAATATTTGCAGATTATATTATGTATTGTCTGTAATTGTCATATTATCATGAAAGTATATATAAGAATTTTAATATATCGCATGAACCATTCAATTGAAATACATATATATACATATACATATTATGATCATCGTTCAGCCTAAATATTTTAACAGATTGAAGGTATTTTTATCCTAACAACAAATTTATCGAAAAAACGATTAATAAAAACGTTTTTTCAAATCTCTATTTTGTAAAATTTGAGTTGCAAGAAAATAATAAATCGATTTTTTTTATATTATCAAATATAAATTTATTATCAACTGTAATTCAAAATGCAAGCTATATTTTTTAAATCAATTGTTCCATTTGTAAATTAAATTAGTTGTTTTTGAATAGCACCGTTACAAACTGCACAAAATAAGTCTCCTTTGTGAATACATTGCGTTAGGGAAAAAAGTCCCTTTTACAAGTTGGTAAAAAAAACTTTTCCCCATCAATGTCTTCGTTAAAAATGATCAAAATTGAAATTTAAAAAAAAGGTTTAAAGCTTTAAATCTCTATTTTCGAAAATTTACTATATTTTTTGAATTTATGTGAATTTTGTAATTTTTACATATAGAAAACGAGTTAAAAAAAATGAAAAATTTTCTTTTCTCTTTGTAGGTCTGTAGCGTGCACAACAAAATTTGAGCAAATTTTCAATCTATCATGAAAGCTTGAAGCTTTCCTTACAAAATCGTTTTTAAAAAATATTTCTATGATTTTTTTGTTCCTGAGTTACTCGCGGATTAAATAAAAAGGAACATTCTGACTTTATTGTTAGTAATTCCGTTACAAATCATCGTATCACAATTAAAAATACAGATTTTTAAAGCTGAACCGTTCCTCTATCAAGTGATGTAATTGCCAATTTATAAAAAAATAGAATATATGGGTTGCTAAAAGTCTTTTTACCAACTTGTAAAAAGACTTTTTCCCTAAAGGGGTATTATGTAATTATTATAGACATATATCATAAAGATATATTTTCTGAAGAATAATTGCATGTTGTTAAAACAAGCTTAAATTCTCACATTGATCATAATGTAAATTGCTTGTACATAAGAAAAATTTGTGTATAAAGTCGATGGTTTCATATTATATTTTGAGTTGCAAGATTATTGTAAAATGCAGACCAATGTACAATGTTTTAATTAAGCGTAAATCACACTAGCGGAAATCGATGACAATACTGATTAAATGTTGTCTGCTCTATAAGTCTACATAAAGAAGCCTGGCATATAATAAAAAAGGAAAACTGATATATGGCAGTTCAATTATGTAGATACGTTTAAAGAAATGATAATACAGTCAATTGACTTTTACGAATTGTATAGGTAAATGTAATTGTGTAGATAATAAATATTAAGTTTACTTGTCAGCATCTTTTGTTTATACGCTCGTTACTAAATCTCCAATTATGTAATATCAATCTAATCCTTTTATCACTCCTTTGATTTTTTGCATATGATTATGTACCTATATGTTTGTAAGTAGATTAAAAGTAGGAATTGCAACTCTTGTTTGTGATGAAGATGCTTATACTGTCTAATTATGGTGCAACAAAATATATGTCCTGATAAAACGTTTTATAGGATGTGAAAAGTAAACATAGAATTACAACAGTTTTATATATATATATATATATATAATATATAAAA